AATTTAATAATTAATAAATAAATAAAAATTATTAAGCTCTATGTTATGTGCTGAAGTTTAAAAGTTTTTTTGGGCTGATCAAAAAGCAGAGTAGGCAAAACAAATACGCAGTCTTAGCCAAATTATAAAATAAGGGAACTCTAATGGTGTCCATTAATTATATATAATAGGAAAAAAATTGATAACATAAAAAAAGCAATTGTGCAGGAATCCCCAATCCTTTTGGCTCATGTGTGACCAGCATTTTGAGACCATATGGAATAAAATAGCGGTCACAATGAATGCAGTTGAAAACACTGGTTTACCGGATGGCCAATTGGTGAGGTTGTTGTTGCCACCTTTTCTAGCCCCCTAAGATGCTGCCCCCAAAAATGTCTGACTCATGTAAAATTTAAGTGCAGGCTTGCAAAACAAGATGATTCTAAGACAAGAGCTGCTTCATAGCATACCAGCTTCCTTCTTAATTCTAGTTAAAATTAACTAAACAGCAGAGGGGACAGGGTCATGATGGGTGCTGAGAGAGTTTCTGTGGACACAGTGATGATGCCCATGAATTGCACATTGGGAATAAAAAGAAGAGAGGTAAACTGAACCTGAAAGACAGCTGGAAATACTAAATGAAAACATATGGGACTAAAAGAAAACAAATGAGGATAGAGTTCTTGAGAGAGGCTTACATCTTTAGTTCTGTGGTGGAAAACTCATCAAAGAAATCCTAGCAGTTGGAGAGGATCCAGCAATCATTTATTATTTCCAAGGCCAGCAGGCTACAATGAGTCACTGGTCTCTTGCACTCATTGTCAACAGCAAAGACTTCAAGGTTACATGGTTCTTATATAGGATGTTGATCAAAGAGGGTTTGAGCATGTACGCATATTTAACAGATCCCAAATGAATAGGAGAAATTGCTTTACAACTGATAAGCAAGTGAGATAACAAGGAGACACTACAGCATTATCCTTTGAAGAGTAGAGTTGCTGCATTGATGTACAAGCATACCAAATTTTCACTATTATTCAACAAGCTGACTCTGAAGAAGGACTAGTGATAAGAGTGTGGTTGATCCAGCATTCCTGACCATGTTTCTATTCTGTGAGAAACATAAATTCTGTAGTAATTTGGAATAATTGAAAATGTCAAAGGAAGTACAGTAGTCCTTGTTTAGTGACTGCCTCATTTAGTAACTGTTTGCAATTATGACGGTGATGAAAAAGTAACTTTGCAACCAATCCTCACATTTACAACCTTCGCAACCCTGTAAAGCAAAGGAAAGCTGAAGTAAGATCATAAAATTGTGATGTTTCACTTAGTGATCACTTTGCTTAATGACCAAGTTGCCGGTCCCTAAACAAGGACTACCTGCAAAGGCAACAAGTAAGTTATGGCACGAATATTAAAGAAATACACCATATAGAATATACAATAGCTAAAATATATATTGCTGATAGAATCTTTTATTTCCTCCACAGTACAGTGGATTTTTTTAAAAGTATAGACTTAAGAGTGTTTTCCAAACTTGCTGTCTTTCTTCTGGGTTGAAGACAATTTTTAAAAATGTTTGTAATTGACATGATAGTAAAGTTGAGATAATTGAAACAGTTACATTTGAAAATGCTATTTAATAAACTTGAGCTTCCAAAGTCCATTAAATTTGTGCTGTATCCTCTTGGGCCAAAATAACTGTATAGCCCAAAAGCATTTCTTGAGGGGGAAAAAAAAGCTAAATAATGTTATATTCATGTTAATTTTTGTTTTTATTTTAGATGTAAAAATAGCAAAAATGGAGATGAGACTTCAGTGGTCATTAGGAGTGAAAAGCAATAAGTAACTTGCAGTTATCTACAGCAATTGTTTTGGTAATCTTCTAAGTATTCACACCTTCTCAATGAAATGTATGAGCAATTCTTTTGGAATAGAGAGCCACATGAAACATTTCTTTCATGCAAGAAAACTATGGCTTCCTTTTTTTAATTAACTGGCATACAATATGACTAGTGTCCATATTTTATGCCTTTGATCTTAGACTAGATTAGTCTGTTGATTATTTAAAATACTTGTGTTAATTTTAGTTTCTTTTGCTTGTTTTTATCATAAATTTTAAACATTTACTTTCTCTATCCACACATATTAAATATAAATATTTTAATTTATGCAAACTTCTACCCACTAAAGTGCAATATACAGTTTTGAGACGGTGTGAATATGCTTACCTTGGCTGTACTTGAATTATAATGTTGGTGTTAATGGCTCATTTCAAGGTGAAATTAATACAAGGAATGATTTGCTATCTAATTAAGCTGATTAAATTTGCTTTGGACAACAAGAAGAAGGCTTAAGTGCTATCCCTAAGAAGGGAATATTGTCTTTAACTCCAATCCACTCTTTTCCATTTAGTTTTAAAATGTGTTCTGAAGAAGTTAGTTGGGACTTGGATGTGTAAACCAGATTAGTGTTGTGTATGAACCCAACTATGACTTAATGCAATATGCAAACCTAACTTAATCTTCCATGATGAATCCAAGAAGGTAAAGGTATTTTTCTAGTGCATGATCATTGTTGTAGATCAATAAACATTGCCTGCAGTGATTGGAGAGAATTAAATGAGATTATACAGCAAATAATTGAAAAACAAAAATTCATAATAACAAAGGAATTGGATCCAGTATGAATCTGAATTGTAATAGCTGTATTGTATACCTAGAGTGTTGATTAATTTAAGAAACTCTTATTTTTCACAGTACTACTTTTAAAAAAATCCTTTAATTAATGTCCTTGAAACTTTAAAATTCATTTTCATAAAGCATTTGTTATGTCTAACAGCTTTAACAAAAATCCCACATCTAATTTAACTTCATTTTTCTGAAGGGAACAAAGTTTTTCATCAGCTGCCTGTATAAGCAAAAACTTGGGAATTGTATTTAAGACCATGTTTGTGTAACATTTAAGGCCATGATTTGCTTTAACTACTATTCAATAAGCCAACTAACTGGATTCATATATTAAGCCGTAAATCATGATTTATAAACAGCAGTTTCTGATTCACAGAGCATGTGCCAAAATCAAATAAACCACATCATGCTGTAGCATTAAGTGTTAATGAGACCACCAAGTAAAACAGTTTCCTGAAGCAAGGAAATAGAAGTAATTAATTAAAAATGGGATGCATTAGCACCTCTGGTGAAAAAAAAATTAATTTTTCTTTTCTACTTTCAAAAGATTTCAAGAGGCTAATCAAGCCAGTTCCTATATTCTTGAGCATAGAGTTTTCAATTAATGATGAGCAATGTGTGGCGTATGGGAATATGCATAAAGCAGCTTTCCTTAATTGTACTGTACTAAAAAATAAGTCTTCCATATTCCTTCTTACTTTAAGGTACGGAGATGATGCTGGCCATGCTACGAATAATGCTGTGAGTTCTGTCGTCAATGTTGGCATGACAGCTTTTAATATTGACAATATTGGAATCAAAGCTATAGTCAAGAAAACTGCAAAGGAAACAGGCCATGCAGTCCTGGATGAGTATAAGATTACAGGAAATGAAGAAAATAAAGCTATAGAAAAAAGAGAAAAAATGGATGAACTCTAAATCTGTGCAAATGAATTGCCAAAAGCCTTAATATATGCTTAAATGAAATGAACTAACAGATTTGGTATTTTTATAATCTTAAACTATCTGAACTTAATTTATCAAACTTGAAGATTAACCTCTTCTAAAAAGTATTTCTGTTCTCATAACTCTAGTATTGCAGCCTCTCCCAGTCCAATGCTTTCCATGTGTGAAACCAACCTCTAGCTAACATGGTTAAACTTGAAGGTCAGGACATCTGGAGGGCACCAGGTTGAAGAAAGGCAATTTAAATGAAAACTGAATTTGCAGTAGCATTTAACTCGTACAAGAAAACGCAACTGCTTTTTAAGATGTAAAATGGAATACTGGAATTTAGTTTGATATATACTGTTTTAATAATTCTACTTTTTGTCTGAATTTTGTTTCAGTAGTTACTGAAACTGTACTGTTTGATTAGGGAGCATACATGTTTGAACTTTATTACACAAACAACTGATTAAGCTAACAAATTCCTGGTAAGCTAGTAAAATCAGTTCCAATTCTACAGAAACCAAAGATTAATATTGTCACTATTAATAATAGTGATAATAGTTTAAACCAGCTTTATGGACTCCTAAACTTAATTGGAATAGATGGCAAAATTCTTGACTACTTTTGTTGGCAAAATTTGATGTTAATGTAATTGAATTCTGTGAAAACAGACTTCTGTTCAAAAAAATAAGGGTTTATTTAATGGTGAAGAAAAAGCTTTATACTTATATTTATTGTAAGATCATTTATTATAAAATGTTTTGAGAAGTCTGTATTATTCAGAAGTATATCCTGATGTCTTGTAAGATAATGAAATTCATTTTATGTTAGACATTTACATTTGCTTCTCTTTATCTAATATGAAAAAGCAGTTGCTATTAATGTAGAATCTTCCAGCTCTTAGTGGTTGCTTCTGACTTTGAAATTGAACTTAATAGTGCTGATCAATTGTATAGCAAGAATATAGCACATCCACTGGTTAAGGAGCTAAGCACTTGAAATGACTTATGAATTTAAAATTATAAATAAACTTAAGATGCATATTTTTGTTACCTGTATTTTTATTTAAATACACCTACTCGTTTAGCAACTGAGTTCCATTCCAACAATCAGGTCATTAAGCAACATAGTAGCTAAATGAACGCATGACAGAGAGAAAGATAGTGGGAAGGTCACTGGTTGTTGCTGTCTCATTCAGATAAAGTGGTTTGTATAGCTTTGCCAGCATTACTCTCCAGCATGTGTTGTTGTCAGGCGCACAAAATTTGGTCGCAAATGTGTACATTGATTGCAAAATTTAATTGTTGTTTATTGCAGTTGTATTTGCGAATAGTTACTAACTGAGGTCCCTAAACAAGGAGTGGGTGTAGACAAATGAGTGATTATAAGTTGAAAGGCAGTATGATTCCTATTAAGTTGTTCTTGCAGATTTAAAAAAAATGGAGCAAAAGCAATGAATATGTGCAAAGTATAAGTGCAAAATAGCAATAACCTTTGTGTTTTCAATTTGAAAAACATATTGCTCCAAATAGTGATCTTTAACAACTATTATACATTTTAGCATTAGATAAAAATATGTAAGAAAATCAGGTATCAGATGACTGGAATTGGAACTGTTCTTATGCTTGTTTAATGTCTTCACTGTCAAGACAGCTAAAGAAAGCAACACTTCTCTGCTTTTCTTTACACCAGGCTGGTGGGCAAGAATATGCTTTAATATAGCCAAATGATCTGAATTCAGAAGTCCATCTTATTTCATAAGGAAGGAATGGCTATTGCTGTCCCGTACTGTCTGCTCACACCTTCCTTTCCTGAGCTTATCAATTCAATTTCAATCAATTTATTATGGTCATAGACCAGTACAAGCAGAGTGCTCTATGAATATATATAAATCTATCTTAATAGATAATAAATGAAATAAAATGTAAGACAAAGTTAAAATACATTTATAAAACATCCTAACTAGCATCTATGAGTGAGGTCCAGGATGCAGTCTATATTTAAATTATAAAGAAGACACTAAAGTTATATAAAGTATAATAACATCTAAAATTACAAAAAAGTAAAATCTAAAATTTAAATGAATTAGTTATATAGAATGCATCTGGCTAGCAGAAAATTGGTCCATCAGGGTCTAGCGGATCTTCCGTGTTGCTGCACAAAACCTAGCCACGTGTGCTGTAACAAAAGGCAGTTCGACTATGAGAAACATCCGGACATAAGCTGAATCTGGGAGACCAAGATACCTACTAGTCAGAGCTAGGATGAATCTCATTCAAATGAAACATTCCATAGTTTCCACCTCTCTGAAATCACAGGGGCAAAGCCTTTCAGCCAATGGTACTTTTTAATATTTACCATCCAATACTGCAGAGGAGAGTGCATGACATCGGGCAAGAGAGAAAGCTTTCTGATGGCTGGGTGTTTCTAGCTGTGTAAGGTAGCTGGCAGTAATGACATATCTGTTGCATACTGGTGACAGGAAGGCTGGGGCCTTCCCTAGATCTGCTTGCCCTCTGTATCCTTTATCCTTTGCTTCAGGGTTTTGCCTGATCATATTTCATCTTAAGAACCGAGGAGCGAGATAGCCTAGATCTAAACGTTTAGATTCAGCAGCCTTGATCCATGTGGATTGACAATTGTCCTGGAGAATTAATGGTGCTAGGCCTTGAGGATAAAAGTTAAGCTCTTAACCAAAGGTTTATAGAAGCCAGACACACTTTTGACTCAATTTTTATCACACCTGTCTCCAGTTGTAAATGTGTGTTGGAGACACAATCTGGAGAGCTGCTCTGATGAACTGAGATTACATCCTCTCCGAGGAGGTGAAACAAGTAGCTGGGGGGGCCAACCAAAGTCCCATTTAGGAGCTGGGCTAATGGGTTAGCCTGAAAGAGCTTAAGTGCAGCTGGAACATCATATCAGCCCTTGGAGTGGGAAAATTTGAGGTTGACATTGGCAGATCTTCGTCCAGTAGCAGCAGCAGCATTCACAGTGGGCTTTCCTTGAGCCAATGGCATGCATGACTACTCCTTAAAGCAAGTCATTTGTTCTATGGCCATTAATGCTCCATGGACGGAGCTTTGGCCTTTTGGCAAATGCCATAATCTTGGTTTTCTGATAGTTTATTTCCAGATGATCATTGTTGCAGTATTGGATCAGAGTTCTCAGAGCTCTTTTAAGACCTACTGGTGTTCTGGAAAGAGCTACAGCATCATCTGCATAAAGCAGCTGGGCCATGCTGGGATCCCTAGTTTAGGGAGATGGACATTTGGATTGTTTAGGCATCTCACCCACCATTGATATAAAAACTGAAAAGCAGGGGGGCCAAAATGCACCCATGTTTTACCCCCTTTTGAGTTTTAACCAGCTTTGAGGGAAACCCTTGCATATTGCACCTGACCTTAAGAGTCATATTAGTGCATAGGGCTCAGATTAAAGAGAGCAGCTTACGGTCAATTGATGAGACTTCCAGCTTCTCCCATAATTTGGTCCTGGATACAAAATCAAAGGCGGCCTTAAAGTCTGTAAAGGCAGCGTACAATGATATCACATTGTTGAATATTTTTCAGTCAAGCACTGTAGGACCAAACATGAATTGATGCCATTACCTTCTCTAAAATTGGCCTGCTCTTCTGCTATCAGATTTTCCTCATCCAGCCAGTCCTTAAGTTTATCATGGAGGTGCTTAGCATAAAATTTGATGATTATGTTAAGCAGGCTAATTGGCCTGTAGTTATCAGGGTCCTCTTTTTTCCCTTCTTAAAGATTGGAACTATAATTGCCAGCCCCCAGTCCTCGAGGACACATCTGGCAGTATCAATATAGGTGAAGAGTGAAGCCAGGAGTGGAGCCCACAACTCTATGTTATTCTTCCATACTTCTGGGGAAAATGCTCCAGGAGCCTTTCCCCTCCTGGGTTGGCCAATAAGGGACTTGATTTCAGACACAGATATTGGAAGACACTCAGGTAAGTCCTCCATCTTTTGTACTGGGGACTCACTGGAGAGACCTTCACATGTCCCCTGAAAATGTAATTTCCAGGCTTCAGGGGATATATAAGAATCCAATGGGGTAGAAGCTCTAGAAACCTGGTAAGGTATTAGGTGCCAGAAAAGAGTGGCGTTCTACAGCAAGGACAATCCTGGTTAGTTTCTGGTAGCCAACATCTTGATGTTGCCACCAATAAATTGGTAGCACTTAACTGATCTTGGCTGATCTCAAAAAATGCCATGCAGGGTCGGCCCTAAGGAGTATTTGAATGGGAGACCACCAGAAGAGCCCAGAGCTATCAGAAAGAAGTTCATACAGCATCCCGGCCAAACACTTCTGCATTGTTGCGAGTAAAATGCATAAGTGAACTGGGTAGTGGTTCCAGACATCCTTTTCTTTAGGGTGCTTTCCAGGCAGCTTTAAACCTTAGCCGCTTTCTCCCTCTGTCCTTCCCCGTGAGAACTCTTCTACCCACCCTTTTAAAACCACAAAAATAGGTACAAGTACTCAACAAGCCATCGATAAATTTATTGCCCCTTACAGCGGGCACCCTGGAAATGCCTCCAGCCCCATGCGTAAAACCAAAATGCGTTCACGCGCCTACGCGCGCTCCCCTCCTAAGACACAGAGAGCAACCCCACCCCCCCTTTGCGCGAGGGCGGGACCTCGGCTTTGTGCCGTCGTGGGAGAAGGGGGCGTTCGAAAATTCCTGCCACGTGACCGGCGCTGGCGCACTTCCCCGCCCTTTCTCGCGGCTCTCCCTGGCGCTCTCCAAGGCAATGAGGACGCACGGGGATAACTGCGTGTAGGAAGCCATGGGGGAAGGAGGCGCTTCCAGCCAAGAGCTGGACTTCGAAGGCGGGGAGCTAGAGCTGACTCAAGAGAAGCAAATGAAGTGAGTCCTCTTGCCAGCAGCGCTGCGGACATCTGATGTGGATGACACATAAGCGCCTGGGCCGGGCGGTGGGGGTTGATGCCAACCCAAGGAGGTGCTAGAGGAAACGGCATTTGAATGGAAGGCGCTATCGCCACGCCCTGTGCACTTTAATGTTCTGGAGTTCTCCTAGAGCTGCTACTACTTTACACGCAGAGTAACGTTGTATTGCTTTTTAAAGAAGTTGATATAGTATTCTTAATATGTTGCAATAATATTTAAAAGTTGAGTTAGGATACTTATGAAAATTTAGTGTTTTATCTCAGTTACAAGAGCCCTGTAGGGTAGAACAGTGGGCTAAAGATTGTTCTTGAATGTATAGCAAAAGAGAGGTTTGAATCTGGGACTTTCCAAATATATTGACCTGCATGTTTCACGAGTGACTGACTTAAGCTACACATATTAAAATAATGGAAATATTTAAACAGTTGCTTGGTAGTTTTTGTATGGCTCTTAGCTACCCTACAATCTGTATATGAGGCTGTTTCACAAGGTCATGTGAAGATGAGACAAAATGCCATGGATAAGTAGCTATGCCTGGTTAATCTTTTCATCTAATTTTGTGTTGGCATAATCTCTCTATTGCTAAGATAATAGAGGGCAGCCCACATAGGGCCTTCAGCTGTGCTTGGGATGGGGCGCTATGCCATCTTCCCCATTTTTTCCATGCCCATGTTTTTTCCATGCAGTGGAGAGCAGATTGTTTTTTTTCCTGCTACTAATGCCAACTGGCAAACAGGAATCTGGGACAGTTACATTACACTGAAAAAAAAAGGCTAAGGGGCCCTTCTCTTCCAATAAACCTGCTCAGCGTCACAGCTATAATGTATTTTTAATGTTTTTATTGTATTTTAAAAATTATACAAAGCTCTAGTTCACTTGGGCTGTGCAGCAGCTGTAGCTGACTGTAGATTTTAGCAGTCAGTGATGTAACAATTATAATAATTGTGCAGTTGTGTGTGGAAGTATTACTTTCCTCCTATCCTTAGCTGCTAAGTAACTATTCCTAGCTACTTGGGCCCAAAATAAACATATAATGAAAGCTATGTTTGATTAGACGCATCCTTATCTAGACCAGTTTTCCTCCCCATACATCTAACCAAGTGCCCATAGGAAGCACACAGTTCAGTCCAGAGCACTATCTCAGAGAATGCTTTAAGATATCTTATACTATGCTGGCAGCACACTGTCATGGTGGAAGTGCACGTGGAGAGATGTTTGCAGTGGCAGAGTTAATTTTTGTTTTTACAATTATTGCAAGCAGTGGGAAGGAATACAGTTAGATCAGATCCAGGACAGATTTGAATATACTCGTATTTTGGGAGCCCTCATTGCAGCCTTGAGGGAGAATCTGATTCATCCTTGTAAGTCCCTTTATCATTGTTGTGACAGGTGATTTCCTGTGACTTTTTTTTTTTTTTTTTGAGCCTTCCACTTAGCAGACAAGAATAATGAGGGTGTATAAATGAGCGGTCCTCAGCTTCTTTGCTTTGGATATCCATCAGATTCAGAACATTAAAGAGAAGTAGTAAAAGTCCTTTTTAAAATGCTTTTAATAGCTCTGGCTAGGCATGGAGATACTGTTAGCTCTACATTTCATTGTTAAATATGTTTTAAAGACCATAATAGAACATGAGTAATACATTAGGACACAATTACAGAAAAAAAAGCTCTGCAACCCATTGTTTGGTCACCTGCGGAGTCTTAAGTGTCATTTTGCATAGTAGCACCAGCTCAGATCATCCATCTGTCTAGCTAACTTAATACCTGAATCTCTATATTCAGCAAATACTGAGGAACGAATATGTTTGTCATGACATCTGCTCCACAGTTTTATAAACTGTTAATTAGAGTTTTGAGAGAGTGCCTGATGGTGCTTTTATAAGTATTCATAGAATCCTGCAGACATTTTCTTGTAAAAAATTTATATTACAACACTTATGTCATTTTCATATACCATTTGGATTTGTAATTGCCGTACATGCTTTCTCTTTAATACAGAGAAATGTTAGAACTCTCCATATTTGAAATGAACAATACAGTAGCAGAACTAGAGAAAACACTTAACAGAATTGATGATGAAGGTAAGAGATTATATATTTAGCCTCAGCTGAAATAAGAGTCTTCAGGGCTTCTGTGAATTAAAGTTCTGTGAATTAAAAATAAAAGGCATGTGATATATGTTTATGTACAAAATCAACCCATACATTTCTTCATGCTCTAGAGCACAGAAATATGGTCTGCTGGTATTTTTGTTTTTGCCTGGCAGGTTTTCTGCAAGTAAACCACACAGTTTCAACAGCATTACTAGCTTCCTCTTCTGAAGGTTGAGGTGCTATTGAAAGGAGTGGGGTTTTTTTCTCCATTTTTCTTTCTCCTTCCCATGATAGCATAAAAGCTGAAAACTAGTCTCTTTGGGGAAACTTTGCCCATTAGTCAAAAAGCCCCAACTCTGCTATCCTGGATCTAGTCAGCAAATCAGAAAATTTTCCAATGGCTGAATTCATCTTCCTAATCTATTTGAATAATAAAGACAGTAATCAATTTTCACCCATTTATTTATTGAACTATTTATTAGCTCTGTATCCTACCTTTCATTCAGGTCCTCAAAGTGGTACTCTCCCACCACAACAACTCATAAGGTAATTTGGGTAGAGAGTGACTGGACTTCCATGGCTGAGGGTGGACCAGCACTTCTCCCACTTCTAGCCCAGCAGCTTAACCACTGCACATGTATGTGAAGTTATGCCATAGGATTGTAAGGGAGAGCCTTATTTGGCAAATGCAAAATGAATTGCCTTTGTTCAGGCCTCTTTAGCCCAGGTAATACCAAAAACTAGGGGGCTGTCTTAACAGGATACACAAGACGTTCAGACATAAGGGTTGGGTTTGTACAAAATCCTAAGCTAAAACATGGTTTGCTTAATTCTTTTGTCATTGTTGTGTGACCCAATTAATGTTCTTTGCTTGGGTACTGACGTCATTTATCCTCAGTGTAAGAGTTTTTTAACAGGAGAAACAACAGCTTCAGAAGAGGGAGAAACCATAGTCTTTTGTAGAGGGGACATAAATCCATTCCCAAAGTAAACTTATTCAGAATGCTAAAGGTAGAAACTATAGTGAGTTGTCTTACCATTTTTAATGGTATGTGTTGGCTTTCCTATTGTAAAGTATGTTATATTTCATCTGATTAATTTCACTGAATAGCATCATGGAGCTTATCATTGTAGATGTGCTGAGCATTATGAATGTACAGGCACCAATGTTCCCCCAGCTACTTGACTCTTTTTAAAGATTCTTTTAATTAAAAAAATTAGGAAACTGGCATTCTGTAAAACTAAGCATCGCTTTAGCACCATATTTATTCGTATCAATGCCTTTGTACCCCCACAAAAGTCCCATTGAACATGGTAGAAAACACGCTGAGTTGGCATTAGCCTTTGGTAATATGAGCTTTGTGACTAGCCATGTTAATGGCTGCTATTTTTTGAATAGGCAGTTCTCCCATGGCAGACATTTTGTGAGTGCAGCAATCACACGGTCTCTACATTCTAAAATACTCCAAGCCCCCCCCCCAAACTTTCTATCTCTGTATTAGAGTTATGATCTAGGCAGTGTAATTCAGCTTCCTCTAAGTCATCACCTTCCAGATGTGTTGGTGTGATGAAATGTCTAACAGACACAGGGAAAGCAGAAATGGAATCAGGGCCTTAGAGCAACTGCTCCTTCATTACACTAGATACAGGTTGAGCAGAACTGCTTTGATAGGCTTTCAAAATTCTGTTTCATTACCCTACTAGCAGTACAGTTCTTTCCAAA